GAATTGTAAATAAAAAAACGTCTTTTGGTATATTAAAATAGAATGACAAAATAGTGTGTGAAAAGAGGCCGCCAAAGCTGCGAAAATCGAAAGAAAATTGTGAAGAAATGAGGAAGGTGACATTGAGGATACATCAAACCCAAACAGCTGGCAGAGTAATAAAAACAAATAAAAATATAATAAAGATTAAATCCTACTGCTATGCATTTGGGTGGGAAAAAGAGTAAGAAATTATTTGCTGGAAAAAGGGAAAAATAGTAGTGAGGGTGAATGAATAAAATTTTAAGTTATGACCTCCCATGGAGAATGCATTAAACACAAAAAGCTCGGATTATAAAAAAAAAATATTTTTTATGAATACGCTTTTATTTATATGACACAGATAGTATTAAAGGTTAGGAGGGCGATAATAAGATTATTAATAGGCAGGTTTAAATCTAACCAGCAAGAGAAATGCCAGGGGAATGTCATCAGTTGGTTCTTAAAATGGAGATTTTTGTTTAATAAATATTCGAAATATTTCTAAGGGTATATTAGTATTAATTATATACAAAACATTTGTTAAATTAACAAGGCATATATATACATATTAGTATAAAGATATTTCAATACGGCGATCATATATTAACAGGGAAATTCTGGCTACGATAGTAAAAAGCCTTTCGAAGGATAAATTAAAGGCAAGTGTCAAAACAAAAAAAAAAAAGCTCTGTCATTCACTACTCGTGGTGAAAAGCTATTTTGAGAGAAAGTTTTTATATCATCTAGCTCGCAATTCGAGAGATCCGCTTTCGAGTCTTTGGACAGAATATTTATTTTAAAAATTTAATTTTTTTAATTCATTTTTTTTAGTTTAATTTAGATTTATTTTTTAGTTTTATTGCTTAAAAATTAAAAATATTCATTTAAAAAAATCGTTTACTTTTTAGAAACCTATTTTATGTATTTTTTAATTATTATTTTTTCTTTATTAATTAAATTTTCTTTTAATGCTTAAATTTATGGTTTTAAAAAGATAATATTTTTTTCATTTAATTTTTAAACCCTCATGTTATTTTAATTTCTAGATTTTGTTGTTTTAAAAGTTTAACTACATTTTTCTATTTCATTTAATTTTTGGATCCCTTTTTATTTTTGTTGAAATTTATTTTTCCTGTAATTTTTAGAATTGGTTTAAAAGAAATTGTTTTATGCTATTTAATTTTTAAGTACTACAGATTTTCTTCTTATTTGATTTTATGTTTCTTCCTTTATAATTTAGTTTTAAGATTTTATTGTTTTTAGATAAAAATTTTTTAAATTACATTATTTTTTTAAAAATATTTTTTATTTATTGTTGCTTTATTTTCGTTTTCTTTTTTTTAACATGAATTTACTTTTGTTTGTTAGTTTTTATTGTTAAAAAAAATATTTATTTTTGACTTAATATAATTTTTTAAAAACATTCTTATTAAAACTAACAGAAATGAATTTAAAAAAAATTATTTTTTTTTAATATTTAATTCTAAAAAATTATGGGCGTGGTAAAACAAGTCAAATTGGATCCCGAGAATTTTATGATATATAAAAAAAAAGTAATTAATCAAGCTGTATATCTTTCTTATCTCAATAATTTACCATACAAAATGTCTTTTGAAATTACGGTGATTTTTTGGATGAAAAATTACGATCCATATTGCCAAATTTATTTGGACCAAACCATGTTCAATAAACAGACTAAAAATTTTCATTTTCAATAACATTTTTTCCGATATGAAGTCTCACGAAAATCCAAAAATTTTTCTCGGTAGAGCTCAAATTCAAATGAATTACTCATAGAAAACGAAATTCTCAGTAGGCCTGATAAAGCCTAATTTTAAAATGTCGGTTTTACCTAATTCTTAAGCCTCACAAAGGGACGTTGTTTGCGTTGGCTGGGTTTCTTCTGAACGATTAAAGTTGCTTGAAAACATCAAAGCGGCGCTCATGTTTCTAATAAGGCAGTCTAACAGAACGTTGAAGAAAACCTGGTGTTTGAATTAATTCCCAGAATTGGAATCCAATAAGTCTTGAGGCAACTCGTCAAAACTGTGTTATTTTTTCTTGAAACGTTCCTAAGGCAAAATTTTTAACTACCATTCTGCATTCTTGCAGAATTTATGAGATTAATTTAACTAAAATAAAGATCTGCAATTAAAATCTTTATGTTCGCAACATCAATAACTCCCAGAAATCTTTTAAGATCAGCAAGAAGAGCTGCGAAAAGTTACTCACAATTCACTCGAAACTGACCAAAGGTGCCTACTCTGACTCCAGAAAATTTTACATCATTATCATTATTTTTTGGTATTAAATCTATGGCTATCAGAAGGCTAAGCTCGTTGAATCATATTAGTTTATATCGAGTAAGTAATTGAAACATAAAATATCCGAGTACACACCCACAGACTAAAACACTCTGAGATTAAGTGACAATGACAATCAACACCTTTGCCAAACCACGCGTAGATACACTTTTCGTTAACAGCTGCTTGCACCTTGACGCATCCTTTACTTCTGCAACAGCAATGTCAACATTGGCAGCAACAAGCTACAACGCCCTTAGCTTAGGTGTCATTATTGGCACTATCATCGAAGAGACACTACACCGCCGGCAACCATCAGCGTTGAAGACTTCAACTGACAGCCAAGAGTAAAATCAACAACAAAAAGAGGAGTAGACACCCACATGCTACACTGTAGTTAAATAAAGATAAAAGAAAGCATGCTTGTAAATGTATGTACATATGTATGTAAAAGTGTGTGTTTGTGTCACTTAAATTAAACCTAACTATAAATTCGTTGACTCCAGTGTTCTACTGGCAACACACATAGTAGTTTTTGAAAAAAAATATTATCGATTTTTTTATTAATTCAGTCATATAACTTTAGTTAGCACGGGAAGTTCAACAATCTATCGTTATAGCGCAATACTCAATTTTTATTTTCAGAATTTCTTGCAATTTATTCTTCACAGCATTAAAGAGAGCAGTACTCGAAGGTAACAAAGCTTCGGAACCCCTTGTCTTCCATTATCAAAAAGGGTCGCATATCTGCGAAATGGTGCCG